CCAGCTCATTCCTACACACACACACACACACACACACACACACAGAAACACACAGACACGCGCACACACACACACGCACACACACACACACACACACGCACACACACGCACGCACACACACACACACAGAAACACAGACACGCACACACACACAGACACGCACGCGCACGCACGCACGCACACGCGCACACACACGCACGCACGCACGCACGCGCACGCACGCACGCACACGCACGCACGCACACACACACAGAAACACAGACACGCGCACACACACACACACACAAACATGGAGAAACACACGCAATCACACACAGACACACATACACACACACGAATACACACACACAGAGAAACACGCACAATCACACACAGAGACACATACACACACACAAAAACACACACAGAGAAACACGCACAATCACACAAACAGGGCATTATCAGACCAGGTGTAGGCCATGCCCTAGATGCCTTCAGCAAGACTAGTTACGTAGCGTTACATTGCCATGCATTACATTACATTACATTACTGGCATTAGCAGACACTCTTATCCAGAGCGACTTACATCAGTTACAGTTTTTTAGAATGTTATCCATTTATACAGCTAAATATCTACTGAGGCAACTGTGGGTTAAGCACCTTGACCAAGGGTAGTGCCCCCTGCAGGAAATCGGAAACCTTTCGGTCACGAGTCCTGCTCCTTATCCACTATGTTACACTGCCTAGTTACCCAGCGTCACATTGCCATGTCCTTACAGAGGCCCATCTGCAGTCTCTCTTTCATGGGTGAGTAAGAAGGCACACCACACGGGACTAAAAATGGGAGTGACTGCGGGTTAGCCATCTGCCCAGTAACAGGTGAGCGGGGGGGGTATACCCACACAGCCCCCAGAGTCAGGCCCACGGCGGCCCTGAGCACTGACTCATCCTAACACACAGAGGCACACGCTCTGTGCAGGGCTGCTGGCGGCGTACCCACCGGTGGTGTTGGTGTGGTGGTAACCCTCCAGCCACGCCTGCATGCCAATCAGGTCATGCTCGTTCACCAGGAAGATAATGTCCTTGGCCCAGTAAACCTGACCTGGGAGAAGCACAGACACAAAACAATACATATGAAATCAAAAGCAGCTGTGTGTATGTATGTGTAAATGGAGTACATATGTAAGTGCATGTTGTGTATATCTGAGAATACTGTGTGAGTGTGAGTGTGTGTGTGAGTGTGTGTGTGTGTGTGAGTGTGTGTGTGAGTGTGTATGTGTGTGTGTGTGTGTGTGTGTGTGTGTGTGTGGGTGTGTGAGTGTGTGTGTGGGTGTGTGAGTGTGTGTGTCAGTGTGTGTGTGTGTGTCAGTGTGTGTCAGTGTGTGTCAGTGTGTGTGTGTCAGTGTGTGTCTGTGCGTGTGTGTCAGTGTGTGTGTGTGTGTGTGTGTGTGTGTGTGTGTGTGTGTGTGTGTGTGTGTGTGTCAGTGTGTGTCTGTGTGTGTGTGTGTGTGTCAGTGTGTGTCTGTGTGTGTGTGTGTGTGTCAGTGTGTGTGTGTGTCAGTGTGTGTCAGTGTGAGTGTGTGTGTCAGTGTGTGTGTGTGTGTGTGTGTGTGTGTGTGTGTGTAAGAGTGTGTGTGTAAGAGTGTGTGTGGTCTCTGTCTCACCCCTGAAGTACTGTGCCAGGCCCAGCAGGAGCCCCACAGCCTGGTTGTTGCTGCTGCCCGGGCTGCAGGGGGCGCTGAGCACCAGGGCCTCGGTGCGGGGGGCGCGGGGGGCCCGCAGGATCCCGTAGACGTTAGTGCCCCGCACCATCTGAAAGGGGGTGTCACAGGGGCAGGGAGCCCAGGGACGAGGGCCACACACAGGGGTCAACGGGAGGACAAAAAAAACACAGAAGGACGAAGGTGGAAAGAAGAAGAGAGATATATTAAAATGAAGAAATGGGAGAAGAAACAAACCATGCAGCGTAAGGAGACAGCCATGCTGCGGAATGCTTCTGTGCGTGCGTGTGCTTGTGCCTGTGTGTGTGTGTGTGTGTGTGTGTGTGTGTGTGTGTGTGTGTGTGTGTGAATGTAAGTATGTGTGTATGAATATGTGTGTGTGTGTGTGTGTGTGTGTGTGTGTGTGAATGTAAGCATGTGTGTGTATGTATACGTGTATGTGTGTATGTATCCAGGTGTACACTCACGTATCTCTCCTTGTTCTCGTCAGGGAAGGGCAGGGTGCGAGAGAAGCTCTGGGTGAACACCTCCAGACCCCTGGACTGCATGGCCTTCACCAGCCAGTCTACCGGCATCCCTCTGCGGAGGGGGAGACAGGGAGGACGGGGGGGAGAGGAAAAGAAGGAAGTCAGAACAGGTAGAGAGTGAGGGAGAGTCAAAAGAAGGAGAGAAGAAGGGAGAAAGAAGGAGGCAGAGACAAAGAGTGAGGGAGAGAGGAGTGGGAGACAGAGACAGGCAGAACAGGAAGATACAGAGAAATAGGTCACAGGGATAAGACTACTTCCAGTGTATGGGGGGTGGCAGTGTAGCATAGTGGTAATGAGCTGGGCCTGTAACAAAAAGGTTGCTGGTTCGATTCCCTGCTGGGTCACTGCTGCTGTACCCTTGGACAAGGTATTTAACCCAGAATTTCCTCAGTAAATACCCAGCTCTATAAAAGGTTACAATGCTATCTAATGTAAGTCACTCTGGATAAGAGTGTCTGCTAAACAACACTAATGTAATGTAATGAAGTAATGTATAGCATTATGGGCCCGTGCTGCTTCCAGCAGGTAGGCCACCAAGGCAGCCTACAGAGCTGGGAGTTTCCTGTGCGTCACGCTAATTTGGGATGAGCAAAGCGGACACTCACCCGGCCTTTTTCTTGTGAGCTGCAAACTCCCTGCCGGCTGCCAGCGCCCTCTCGCCCGCCCCGAATTTTTCCTCCACCATGGTGGAGCCCATGGCGTTCTCCGACATGTAGGTCCGCAGGGTGAAGGGTTCGAACGCCAGGCCCATGAACCAGGCCACACCCGCCACATAGCACACCAAGCTGAGAGAAGCAAGGGGGAGGGGCAAAGGAGACAAGGCAAGAGAGGAAGGGGTGGTCAGGTGACCTTACTTGTTTAGATCAGATTAACATCATGCACAGTAAATAATGGGAAGGTAGGCAGAGTCGAGAGGGGGCCTTTATCTGTAGTTATGTCCTCCTATAGGTTTACAGAGAAACGCGTAACTCTTAGGAAGGAAAACGCAGGTGAAGTGGAAGCGCACAGGTAAAAGCGCACAGAAAATCTCCTCCAATCGACGTGGGTGCATAGATGCTCCGAGGAGGAGGCAGACTCACCACAGCGGAGTGTTGAGGCGGGTCAGGAGGTTGGTCAGCGCTCTCCTGCGATTGGGGTCCGACAGCAAGCCCATGTCTCTGAACCTTCAGAGCCGCGGCGGATGCGGAGCAGGACCTGCGGACACGGAGCATACACCATCTTACTCGTCCATCTTAGAGCAAATTCACGGCCTTGTCATTTTGATTAGAGCAATGCCGACTCAGTTTAACGTGTCCTACGACCAGCACCATTATTTTCATGCTTTAGGAGCACATAATGACTGCTCGTTTTCACTCTTTTTTTGATGTGGGGAACACCTTAAAGTCGCTAAGCATTAGCAGTAAATCTATAACACAGTACGGTACGGTCTCAATAGCCAAGAACGCATTCTTGTTTTCCTGACATCGAACAGGTTCAAAACCGAGGCGATCTCCGAACACTTCCTTAAATCTGAAACCGCTGAATGCGGTCACTATACAACAGTGGTCAATACAACAATGGCACGTTTTATTTAGCTAGCGTGAATCGCAGTTCCATCCTAGCTGTTCCTTGAAGCCGACAGCTAGCATATTCGCTAGCTGGCCACATCGTTCATAATGACTGATAGAAAGTGGATGCAATTTCTCAGATCTTAACTAATGTAGTTGCCTATTTATGTCTGACCCTCTAAATCAATTCACAAGACCCAAAGCGCACAGCAGCAGTCTTACCTTCTCCCCCGATATACGCGGCGAGCCCGAGAAACACCGGCCCAAATTGCGGCAGGTGTAGTGTTCTCTTTTTTAGTTGTTTCCTGTCGGAGGAATAACGTGACGGACCCATTTCCTATGTTAGGGTCGGGGTTGCCAGATCAGCGAAAGAAAGTGAATGGAAGGATCTTTACGGTTATTTCGCGGGGTAATCACTATCTGCATAACCTCGTATACCCAAATTGTTAAACCCCAGACTCCAGCTGCAGGGGGAGAGTAGGCTCAGTGCTGATCTAGGATGACGTTCCTTTACATTGAGATGTCTCAGTCATGAAGACTGATTTCTGTTCCTTACCAATGACATCTCCCTCTAATTTCCACACCTAACTTTTAAAATGTTCGTTTTTTTTCTACTGCATAGTTCATTGTAACTTGTTGTAACGCATTTTCAAAAGTTTTATCACAATACTGCGATATCAACAAAAAGGTCAGCATAGATTTTCACAGACCAATTTTCCCTTTTCCCTAACCCCATCAATTAGATTTTTTTCCTCAGGAATGGAAAGTGAGTCATCTATGGCATCAGGCGATGATCAGAAAGCTGCTTAGCTGGACCACTGAGAACAATTCATGAGACATGCAATGATATAGGCTACTGTCAGCCACTACAATACCCTAGCAATATCAAACATGGATATGGTACAAACACCTTTTTTAATAAAAAAAAAGTGGAGGGAGTGGAGTGCAGTTTTTTCCTCATCAGTCAAGCACACACACACTGAAGAAAGAACACAGAGAGACCCAACTGTTTCTGATTTTTGTTTCTGTGTTTTTTGCTGCAAGCACATTCTCATGGTCAGAAAACAACAACAAATGCTTCAGCTCCAGACTGTTCAGCTGTGATCTTCATTACAGCCTGGTCTTCTCTTCACATGGGGAAGAGCAGGAAGCCACTGAAAGTGCAGCGATTCCTTATATTATCGAAGACCTGGTGGCTTGATGGGAGACGAAGGTAGACCTGATCTCCCACCTCAAGCTGGAGTATGGCTGCATTAGAGGAGTCATCATCGTGCTCCCCAGATCCTTGATAATCATACATATGGATTATACTTTGTCCATTCTTATATAGGGCTGATCCTATGATAATGGAGGATCCAAAACCAAAAGCAGTGAATCTAAAGTAGTAGACTCCTTTCACCAGTGCTGTGAAGATCCCTGTATCAGAGGAAAAGCACTGTGAGATAAACACAGACACACAGAGAGGAGTGAGATGTGGAGTCTTGTTAGCTGTGAGCGTATCATGTAGATTAGTGTATACTGTACCTGTAGCTGGGCTGTAGTGATTGCCGATATTTGTGAAGACTTTAGTGTAGACCAGGGTGATGTCTGTGTTGAAGGGTCCTACATGTCCAGCATCAGTTAACGCAGCTGAGAACGCCACCTTTGGTCTGTCTGTGAACACAGGAGAGTCACACACTCATTTACTGCAGCATGGAAGGAAAGGACAAAAGCACTCATACAGTGATTAATACATCTACAAAAGCAATGATGTATCTGCAGGCAACGTGTCAGACACACAGAACCTAAAGGCTGAATGAGGCTAAAGACTGCAGTGTCAGTGGATGAGGAACAAACATGGAGATGTGGAGGTACAGGTGAAGGTCACCTGCTCAGGTAACTGATGATGGCACAGGTGATGCAGAGCACACTTTTTCTAGGGGAAGCTCATTTCTCTGCTCAATATTCCACTATCAGTGTCTCACTCACTCGAACACCACAATGTAAATAAACCTGTATGAACAGGATCTTTATTACAGGTGTGTGTGCTTCTGAATAGGTGTTAAACAGCAGAAGTCACTCTAGAATAGACTGTAAAGTGCAGTGGGGTTATTCCCATCCCTGTATTACCTGCATTCTCTCTCTTCAGTACCTCCACTGTGGATTTCAGCTCCTCCACCACAGTTTTCTGTTCCTCCAGCTGGAGCTCAGTGGAGTTTGCTCTGTCCTCCATGGCTCTCAGATCCAGCGCTTGTGCTGCAATCAAATAAATGAGGAACATCAGGAGCTGTTCCTCTCTGTGGTCACAGCAATAAAAAAAGCATAAATCCAGTTATGCACCCCAACCATACTGTTTGTTACCTGCATTCTCTCTCTTCAGTTCCTCCACCTGGTTCTCACTGGTTTTCAGCCTGGCTTCCACAGCTCCCAGTTCTGTCTTTGTGGCTCCCAGTTCAAATCTCTGCTCCACCACCATGTCTCCCAGGGCTAAAAGAACCCAGATGAAAAACTCAAAAATGATGAATATCCCTGTTAACAAAAACAAATTTAAAATGTAAATACATCAGTGTCTCTCCTTAGAATTCCCTTTATTTTCTGTCTTCAGCTCGACCACCTGGCTCTCCACAGATTGCAGTTTAACTCTCTGTTCCACCACAATGTCTCTCAGCTTCTGCAGTTCGGTCCAGATGTCAGGTTGGAGGTTTCGCTGGGTGATCTCTCCTCCTTCATCCTGAAGCTGAGCCCCAGTCAGACAGCAGCCCAGTAACACCAGTAGAACTACAGTGCTCCTAATTCTTCAATTGAATTCTCAATCCTCTCTTTTTATACACGTGTCCCTGTTAAACATTACACAGCTTGACCACTGAGAACTCAGTTGTTAAATGGGTAACATTGTTTGATACAATTATTTTACATTAGTTAGTTCTATTTCTAAAGAAGTCATTGGAGAATGTGAACCTGATTATTTTATTGCAATTTCCAAATTTGTTTCCTCTTGTCAAAATACAGTACAAGTGAAAAGTTCATGGAAAAGATGATTAAGATTTTGATTTGAACACTTATGTTTAAATGCTCCCCCCCTTTAAATGTTTGTTTCTTAGACACATATAAATATTGAAGTTGATGCCTATGTATGAATATTTTTTAAATTTTTTTTGGCTACTTTGAAGAATTTAAAATACAACATTTTGATTTTGGTCACTGCATAATTCCATTTGTGTTATTTCACTGTTATGATGTCTTTACAATAGTGAAATGTTGAAAATATTAAAAAAAGAATAAAAGGTTGTGTCCAAACATTTGACTGGTACTTTTATATTAAGGCCTACAATCAGGAAGGAAATTCTTTGGGAAAACATTTACTTCCAGAAATAAATTCCCCTGAGGAACAAAACCATATAACTGATTCATTTTCAGCATATTTTAATTGAATAATAAATAATAGTTTACAAATTATTAAGCAAGTGTTCTTACAAATCATAGATAAAAGATAAAGAAAAAGGTCAGGTAGCATTTTTCCCATAAACCAAAAGCCAAAAGAATAACTCACCAAACAAAAACCAAACACCTGGACTATTCCCTTGAGTTTTATTAGTACATTGACATCATTTTGTTAAATAATGTTTGACTAGAACATAAAAATGTGTTGTCGGGCAACTTCAGTTGTTAATCATTATTTCTTCTTCTGTTCTTTTTCTTCTTCATCTTTTTGCAAAGGCAGTTTGAAATCCACATTGAAAGTTTTGCTAGTTAGAAAAATCTATTATGAAGGGCTTTTATACAAGTACTGAGTTTCATAATTTATAAACCTTTTATATATACTT